AGAATATATGAATGAATAACATCTTGGAAAGAATCTTGTACCTCTATGGTGCTTTCCTTTGTTACATCCAATTGCAATAAATTAAGACGTTCCATAAATTTCTTTTTCAAGTCAAGGAGGCCTGTTGCTCCATCAGGATTCCGACAGGTAGCAATGACATGTCCTTTATCATTCTTTTCCAATAGTTGCCTAACCTAATCATGCACCACATAAGAATGATTAATATGCCCTTATACTATGAGATTTAAGCAGAAAATTAAACAATAAGTTTGCATTGATGTAATAACCATCAAATAACTATTATTTGTTTGGAAGCATACTTCACATAAGATTTCAAATGGTTTCCACAAGCATATCATAGTACAATCATTTGAAGAAGTTCTTCAAGGATCATGCGACAACATCGAACTGACCAAAAAGTTTCAAAGGATATATACATATAAGCTGTCTTCAATATAAATAACACCTAGAGCTTCAGAAAACATTGTCCTTCCTTAATTGACTAGACAAAGAAATGACAATCTATAAGAGTTTATAGACAGTGTGAAAAAATGCATGGAAATCAACAATATTCAATTACATGCATTTCAATCCATTTGATGTAACATATCTTGAACACCTTACTCATGTAACATAGGGATCCAGCTAGCATTTGGGGGTATAACAAGCACCAAGTATCGCAATTCTGATATGAGTCTCTTAGCTTCTTTTTTTCACTAGAGACAAGTAATGAATCATAAGAATATGTTTTGAAACTCATTCACATTTTTGGTGGAAGCCAGTTTTGTCACCACATGTTGGCTATTTTCTCTTCTCCTTTGTGATCCAGGTGCCTAGGATTTGAGCTGCGACAGTTTCGTTGCTTGCAAGGGCAAAGCTACTTCCATCTATCCTCCTTGGACTTTTACTGGCAGGATCCTTGTGCACTGGGCCACCACATTAATATGTGGCATCAAGACCAGAAAGCACAGCTAAAGCCCCTATGCCAATAAATAAATAAATTATGGATTCCAATTAATAATGAAGATTGTGTGAGGAACTGAACATAGTCTTGATTTTATTGATAAACAAATGGACTCGTAGCTCAGCTCCTCCCATTTTATAATGAATTATCTACAATGATAAGTGAAAATGATATCCAAGATTGTCTAGGACATGCAGATATAGAAAGGGCTATTGCATGAGAAATGCAAAGAGAAACACTTGCTTATTATTGAAACCTTTCCCTCATCCCTTTGAGATATCCAGAACTTGTGACAGGAGAGTTAGCAATACAGAATCTAAATTTGGCTGTCAGCAGAGGCATCTAACCAAGCATCAACTTCCAATATACTCGAAGCCAAATTTTCTTTCTTGCCAATGTAAGGAGCTCTTACATCACAGTGGATCCTCTCCATGTCCTAGGTTCGTTAGTGTATTAACATCATAAAGAACATGAAGAGCATTAAAACACACTACTAGAGCAACAAAATATAAATGACAAAGTTCTTGAGTGAATGTGTTCGCTATAATCACATGCCTAAAACTCCATAACCAAATTCATAAAAAGGGGAAAAAGTTACCTTCCCATATAAGAGCCCAAATAAATAAACTTGAACACCAGCCATAACAAACTGAAGCATTTATTTGGTAGCATGGATTATATTTTACTTTTTCCCCTTTTCTTGAGTGCTAGAGCTACAAAATATAAACGTCAAAGTTCTTGGGCGAATGTGTTCAATATAATCACACAACTAAACTTTCAGAACCAAATGTAGAACTTATGAAAGGGGGTAGAAATTATCTTCCCACATAAGAGCCCAAATAAATAAACTTGAACACAAGCTATAACAAACAGAAGCATTTAAGGTAGCATGGATTATATTTTACATTTTCCCCCTTTCTTAAAAGTAACATCAAAAACCCACAGAACATTCGGAAGAATACAAGTGAAGTGAAGGATATTTAGTATGCACTAGGAAAGTAGATATCAATAACAGCCTATTAATAATGTTTGACTCATATGCCAAAATATAATGAAGCAATTTTTTTTCCAGAAACGTTTCTTGGTGGATCCCAAACTGTTCTATTTCTGGTGGTTATTTGGCAATAGATTCTTTGTTTGCCAAACACAAACTGTCTAACCAAATTAACTTCTCTGTCGCAACGTCACTCAAGAAAAGATCAAACTTATGTTGCCTCAGCAAGTTTATTGACATATATCTTCTCCCTCTTATCAACGCAACTCAAAGAAAGATAAAATTTATGTTGTCACAGCAATTTAACTGACATATATCTTCTCCCTCTTATCATCGCATGACACTGTCTGTCCAATTCAAGACCACATATGCATTCCAAAATAAGCACAAATTTCCAGACTACTAATCTGCCCATTTGCAGATATCCAGTTATCCACATCAAAGACACCGTCTTTTATTCCTGTATCCACCGAGCCGGACATACACATAACCAGAAATAAATCAGAAGAAGTTTTTGACGAACCTGGATTTACATTTATACTTAAGATCTACACTAATAATCTGCCACGAGACTCGAAACAAAGGGAGGAGACGAGTGAAGTGGGTAGAGATCTTCTGCTTACGAATTCAAGGCCGATTCCCCTTGAAGCGCCCTGCACCATGGAAACCCCACCTTCCCACCTGAGCGCAGCGCTACTGCAGAAGAAACCCCTTCTCATTGATCTCATCATGGACGACGAAGATAAAACTGAAAGGCACATAGCAATCCTCCAATTCTCCCAATTCCTCAATTGCCCATTTGCTTCCCCTTTATGCCATAAAAATGGCGTAGAGGAATTGAATTTTTAATAGTATATATATATATATATATATATATATATATATATATATATATATATATATATAAAATTTATGTATTTATTTATTTATTTATTTATTGTATGTAACACCTCAATTTTATCCCATAATAAATAAAAAAAATTATAAATTATGAGAGCTATATATAATCATATTAGTATTGATTTTAATTCAATTAAAACATCGGCATCCCCTCGGTCATCTCCCGCCAACCTTATGTCGTACGGGTTGTACGGATCGACATCGCACTAAGAATAGGTCGACCTACGTCATTGGGAGTTGTACGGGTCGATGGCCTGCATGAATGCATCACAAGAGGTATGGGTGCCCCTTGTTACTATAGTTTCCTCCCATCAATTTTACAAGTATAAAAACTAATCCTGACACATGAAAAGAGGATTAGTCTCAGAAAAAAATCACATGATATAAATATGATTCCCTTTGTCTAATTTAAGTTTTAGATGGATCATGTCGAAAATTCCATTCGATATCGACCTATCGTGAAGGGCCCGATGGAAATCAAACATACTTCAACCTCACCTCGAGATAACCACATAATCACCCTCTCTAGCTCGAATCTAACCTCAACAACTCCTCTCTTTCCGGAGAAGATTCATCGAGCTAAAATCAAGTCGGACCAACTCCCAATTGATCGCATCAAGTTGGTAACATTCGATGAAGATGAGTACATCATGCTATGGAGCTATGGTTGGACCTCCGCACTATACCACGACAATTAAACCTAAGTGGAGCGGATCATCTCGACACAAGAGTGGCACATTATGAACTAGTTTTATTTATCTCATTCGTCATGATCCACTTCAATCTCTTTAAGCATGCTTAGTCTTGTAATCTCTTTAGTCAATGCCATGGCAGTGCTATGTTGATTGGAAGCACAAATGATGTAACCACATCATATCAAATCATTTGATCATGGAGTCAACTTCGATGCCAGAACAGGCCAATGATGGTGTTCCACATCAGCATCTTTGACTGGGCCACGGGTCAACAGAGACGACGACGGCACTCCCGAGGCTTCCCTCACGTCCGTCTCCGTGCATGGATGGCTTCGTCACGCGACGTCGCCTTCTTCGCCGCGAACGAACGCGCCTCGCTTCCCGAGGGAGACGCAGAGTACGCCGATCACGGGCTGGGCTTTGAGGAGTGCGAACCTCTCTTCCTCAGAACCGCCGCTGAACCGATGGATTGGATTCTCCCACCAGCTCAGGTGCTTCCAGCTCGAAAGAGCCGATCCGTTCATCTTTACTTCGTCGCCTATCCCCTTTACGATTCATGTGTAAGAGATATTATGGCAGAACCAATACAGAAATTAGTGTGAGAAAGCAAAGCTGCAGACATGATTATGAGGGGAATAAAGTGCGGAGACCTTTCAGTGTCAGCATAAGGTGATATGTTTATTATCTCAAGGAAGAAGAAGCTTTCCCTGCTTTTGTTCCTTCACCAGAGAGCTGTGTGCACATGGAGGAGTGCAGCTGTTCTTAAATGCCATTGGCAGTCTGCCATTACTTCTGCTTTTCTCTGACAAAGGTAGTCAAAAGCCTTCAAAAGCGAAAGGTCAAAAGAGCACTGTGCAGTACCCCAGTATGCATGTGGTCGCATGCATTGATTATGCTTGCAGCAGCCTGCACCCATGGGTGGGCTTCAAGCCACTGTATAAATGGGCAATCTTGGAAGCTTTTATGAGCTTGCATTTAGCTTATCTGCTGTTAAAAAACTGATGTAAATAAGCTTTGAGAATGATGAAGAAGTGGTCCTCAATGTTTGACACAGTACCCAATGACTTCAATCACTACATGCATGCAATCTGAGAGCATTCTTCTCTAAGCTCATAGTCACACTAATCACTGCACTTATAACAAGAGTTTGCTAACAATGGTGGACTGGCACAGTAAGGCAAGCTCACCAACTCCACAGAAAATTGCAACCTTGGGAAGAACACAGAGCCATTGGGAGGGACTCCACCTCGAAGCCCCCTCTGTTTGACACTGTATCCAATGATTTCAATCACTAGTTATAATCCAGCAGTAATTATTCTCTATGGTTATTGTTAATTACTGCGCTAATCACAAGACTTTCACTATCATGGTGGTCTTGCACAGTTCCACCTTGGGAAGAACCCAGAGGCACCGTGATGGACTTCACCCAACAACCTCAGGCCATCAACTTCCCGGTAGATCTCTCGCTTTTTCTCTCTCTCGGCTTTTCTTCCTCCTTCTTTGGTAGCAGTAGCTAGCTGACGCTCACCAACCCAACAGTCAAATGTATTACACCCAGAACACATGTATAAAAAGTTCTGCATCCCACACCAACCGAAAGCTAAAGAAGAAAGCTTCAGATGCTTCCTTTCTCCTCCCCTCTTTTCCTTTATGCATCTACTAACTGGCATTGTTTATCCTTTAGCTGAGCAGCAGTGAGTGAGGTCTTGTGCCATCCTCTCCTTGTGAAAGAGTGAAGCATTAGAGAGGGAAGGGTACGGTTCAAGGTTAGAGCATGCTTTCCTTTACTGTGTCAACTGCACTGAGTTCGGGTTGTATGGGGGAGTCGAAGATTTCTCGGTTGGAGTTTTGAGGACTCCTGCGCTGCTTGGTGTGTAACCAAATGGAAGGACTTCTGGTGCATTTCTTCGTGCTTTCTCTATTGAGTCTTTTGTTAGGAGGCCTATGCCAAGAGGATGCTGCTGTGTACATTGTGACCATGAAGCAGCCCCCTGCAGTCCATTACATTGATGAGCTGAAGACGTTTGCAAGCAGTGGGGTCAGTTATGGGGGCTCTCAGACCTTCAATATCCTCAATAAAACAAGGTAATGCCTTCTTTTAATTTATATCTTTGGAAACTTGCAGATATTGTAGCATTCAATCTTTAACATAACAAGGTCTGTTTTATCAGGTGGGTAAAATAGTGCTTGATTTTCTCTGATCTTTTACTTGTATGTTGATCTTGGACTTTTGGGTTATCAATTTCATTGGCAGAAGTCATTGATTGTTAGTGCTGTAAAATTAGGGTTTGACTTGTGGGTCATGATGACTGGTCACTGCTGTAAAGTGAGTTTGACCTAGGAGACATGATAAGTGGTCACTATTGGTTCGCTCATGTCAACTACAGATTTGGGCTTCTTCGTCAAAAATCATATGATTAATATGCATAACAGTTCTTCCCTGTTTTTATGATTGTCTTTTATGTGCATTTCAAGATTAGATCTGTTCTACATAGCTATGTTTTAGAGTTTGACTTATGGGACTTGATGACTGGTCACTGCTGTAAAATTAGAGTTTGACTTATGAGACAGATGACTTGTCACGATTCGTTCACTCAAGAGGACTACAGATTCGGGTTTCTTCGTCAAAAATTGTATTATATATGCCTAAAAGTTTTGTGTTTGTTTTTGTGATTGTCTTTGATGTGCATTTCAAGATTGGGACTGTTCTATATAGCTATAGAGTGTGAATATGTGATATAGTCCATTTATTTATGTATTGTACTGGTTTCAGTTTTATATCAGATCATTCTAAGATGGTGGTGCCTCATCGTTCAATACTTATTTTATTCTAGTCGATCTAGATCATGGGGTAGAAAATTATGCACTCTAATTTTGACTGGTTTTGATGTTTCCATGGTACAAAGATTATGCTCCTACCAATACTTGGTGTGCAGTTTAGCGAAAATTCTCAAGGCCCAGATCATGGTTTGCCACTGCAGCATCGATTGGCATAAGATCCTGAAGTTATAGGCAGGCACGGCCTAAATAACAAAGAATATTTCAAAGCATTAGTATATTTTATCAATTTAATTGAGAACAAATTTACTTCAGTTCACATTTTTGCTGTTTCTGTGAAGCAATAATGTCTTTCCACAATCCATTAATTTTTTTTTATTACATAACAGAATTTTCTTTACACTTAACATCCCATAGGCCAAACTTCTATTGTCATGGCATGGTCTAATAGATCTGCAAACCCAATAACTTTCAGGCTTAACACATGGTTTAAAAATACTTAATCCAAATTAGTAACAGATAGATCTAGGCTTATATACCATCACAAATGAAAATGCTTATGCCTTAGCTATTTATGGTAGATCCATCTAGCTTTATAAACCATCACAATCCTCTCTTACTTTTGATGTGATACATGTCACAAAAGCTTGACATCATTGTCAAGGTGCAAGGTCTAACATAAAGTCAAGGATCAATCTATAGTATGTGATTTGTGAAGCTTATAGTGTAATGCACTCTTGGCTTATCCACGTTTAGTTGTTTGCTCTCTGGAACCCTTAAACTTCATATGCCTAGTTTTAATTCAAATTTAATACCAGTTATTATGACCTGCAGCTCAAGTTATCAGCAGTAAGTTCATCGTGACTCTTGTCCTACTTCAAATATGAGACTAATTGGAGTCATATTTCTATCTAGTTGACTGTCAGTAATTGGAGAGTCTTATATACCATCGTGACTCTTGTCCTACTTCAAATATGAGACTAATTGGAGAGTCATATTTCCATCTAGTTGACTGTCACTCTGCTTTTTTCGTTGTAGATGGCAATACACCTGTCCGTTGCAGGTGAAATCTTATCCATTTATTTGTTCCTTAATTGATGCTCCTCATCCGAGTTCCCTTGTTTGAAATCTCCTGTCTAAGTTGTTTCATGAATTATAGTGATCAACTTATTTGAACTGTCTGAACTGCAGGAATTATTCAAGGACAAATACAAATTACAGCTCATATCTGATTCGCCTTCAGAATTCTCTGTTGAGAAGGGCATTTAGGGGGGAAAGATATCTCAAACTCTATAGTTATCATTACTTAATCAATGGCTTTTCTGTTCTTATAACTTCTCAACAGGTACTTGACACGACTACGCTTGTTCATCTACTGTTTATTTTTAGTTCCATTAGGTTGATAGACTAGATAATTGAAGGTTGTTTGGGCCAAACCAATAAGTTATAATTAGAGTTCTCAAACTTATGTGAAATAGTTGATGCTAAAGAGTACAATACAGGTGTCTAGTTAATAATATGTGAGAAGATGCCATGGGTGTGATATTACATTGATTTATGAGTTTCCAAAGTTGCATTATATTAAACTTAGCTAGTTTATATACTGCCTATCCTCTCCTCTATGCCTATATGCTCTTGTGGTTTGGTTTGATGGGCATTTTTCTCAATTTTGCTTTGGAGCATTGGCATGAATTATTTACTTCATTATGAAAACTAAAATTCTTGTGTCCAAGGTTATCAAACATTGTCACTTTCCAAAATGAGCCATAGATTAAGCTTCAGTAGTCCCATTCCTAAGAGGTATACAAGAGCTTTGTGATTTTCTCAAACAATTCTTACTGATACGTTTTTCGGTCAAAAGCTGGAAACTTGTATTTTTCAATTAACTATATATAAAATTACAAGGCTCATTTAGCCATATATCTTAAATTAGGAAAATTTTATGGCATGTTTAAATTTTTAAAAGTAGATAGTGTTTGTAAAGTCATTCTCCTTCCAAATTTAGTCCAGTGGTGATACACTTACTCCTTTTGCCTTCAATAAAAGGTGAAATAATAAGACTATCTTGATCAGAAAGCTGACAAGTACTATTTTTATTTGAATATTTCATTTGAGTCCTGGCTTGGATTTCTATGCCTCATGCACATTCTTATAATATCCAAACCATGATTTTTGTTCTTATAACTGTAATTATTTATTTCAAAATTAATTTAGTTACACGGGTTGCATTTTCAGTTTCCTATCTGATATAAAGTGTTCTTCTTGGATGGAAAAGGCAGAAAAACTTTCAAGGAGGCATGAAGTAGCAAATGTATTGTTAGATTTTTCAGTTAGAACTGCAACCACCCACACTCCAGAATTTTTAGGTCTGCCTCAAGGAGCATGGGTTCAAGAAGGAGGGCCTGAAGTCGCTGGAGAAGGAATTGTTATTGGGTTCATTGATACAGGGATAGATCCAACTCACCCCAGCTTCTCTGATTATCTATCTGTCAATCGTTACCCAATTCCACATCATTTTTCTGGCATTTGTGAAGTCACAAAAGATTTTCCAGCTGGATCATGTAACAGAAAACTAGTCGGAGCTCGACATTTTGCTGCTTCTGCAATAACCAGGGGGATTTTCAATGCTACCCTGGACCATGCTTCACCATTGGATGGTGATGGACATGGAACGTAAGTGGCTTTCACTTCCACTAGATGTACAATATAGAAATTACATATATATATATATATATATATATATATATATATATGTTGTTTCTTTGGTGTCTTCTCTTTCTTGAGTTTCATAGAATTTGTCCTTCACTAATTTATGGTACATTTTAATGATATTGTAATCTTTGTAACTTTAGCTTTGTTAAGCTGGAATAACAGTAATAGAATTCCGAATCTATGTATGATCCATGATATATTTCTTGCTTGTCAAAATCGAGATTAGGTGAATTCTATTTTATTCTAAAAATCCTTTTTTTGTATAGTAAAATGATAGTCGATAAATGCAGGCACACAGCATCCATTGCAGCTGGTAACCATGGGATTCCTGTTGTTGTGTCTGGACATCATTTTGGAAATGCAAGTGGCATGGCCCCTCGTGCGCAGTAAGCCACTACTTCTTTTTAGTCTATGATAGACCATAGATGGTGTCCTTTTCACTTCAAGATTGATTTTAACCACTCGAATTTTTTCAGTATTGCAGTGTATAAAGCTTTGTACAAAAGTTTTGGAGGCTTTGCAGCTGATGTTGTCGCTGCTATAGACCAGGTACACAGGTGTCAATTCCATCTCTGAAGAAAGTAAAGAAAGAAACAAGAGATCTAAAGAAAGTAAATCGAGAGGAGAAAAAAATATTCCAAAAAGGAGGAAGAGAAAATTATATGCCTTAATTCAGCGAATTAAATCTAAGTCCAGATTTGTACACATCAAGTAGTTTACATTTTCATAATTCTCAGTTAGGCTTCACTGTACAATTTTTCTGACATTTGTAATCGTTTGCATTCACAGGCAGCTCAAGATGGTGTTGACATCATAAGTTTATCCATCACTCCCAACAGGCGCCCTCTTGGTGTAGCAACCTTTTTCAATCCCATAGATATGTCGTTGCTGAATGCTGTAAAAGCTGGAATATTTGTTGTTCAAGCTGCAGGCAATACTGGACCTTCACCGAAGAGCGTGTCTTCCTTTAGCCCTTGGATATTTACCGTTGGTGCATCTGCTCATGATAGAATCTACAGTAACCATCTTGTACTTGGGAACAACCTGAAAATTTCAGGAGTAGGACTTGCACGTAAGTTTAAACTCTGCACTTCAGCAATAGATGATAAATGTGAATCTTCAATTTGCCTTGTTTTGCATTCTATTTGTCTCTCGTAGCTAAGTTTTATCAATAATAGAGTTATGTGAAACTTGATAACCTAACTTTCTGAATTGCATTAACTTAAACTCTTTTCTCATTTTCCAATATACTTCTACCACATGCTGAGTGGACGCATATAGCTTTGAGCTAACGATTCTTAAAACTTGCAGCTGGAACAGATGGTGACTTAATGTATCCTCTCATTGCTGCTACTCATGCCTTGACAAATGAGACAACAGATGCAAATGATATGTATTTGGCAGAATGCCAGGATTCAAGTCTTCTAAACAAAGATTTAACTAAAGGAAAACTTTTGGTTTGCAGTTATTCCATCCGATTTGTGCTGGGCTTGTCCTCTATCAAGCAAGCATTACAGTCAGCAAAGAATGTGAGTGCAGTTGGAGTTATATTTTACATGGATCCATTTGTTATTGGGTTCCAGCTCAACCCAACTCCTATGCATATGCCTGGTCTTATAATTCCTTCACCTGATGATTCCAAGGTATGCCCATTAAGAACTATCTTAATCTTATATGTGTTGCTATACTGAAGAAACCTAGTAGGCCGCAAAGTCCCAACTAGGATCTTTTTGGGATCAGGGTGACATGGATCTTTTGCCACCATTGGAAAAGATATATCTTTAGTTAAGTTGAAATTATTTAAATTTTTAGTTATAATTTCTAGTTAAATTAAGAAACCTAGTAGAGTAGCAGGGGGAGAATATTTATCTTTATGCATTTTTTTTACTATTCAATAACTTACAACTTGGAGTATTAGCTCAAATTTGCAGGTTGTCCTGTATTTTATGCAAACACCCCTTATTTCTGTTTTTAATTTTTCATCAGTTGTTGCAACTGTTCCCAAAGTGCTAGTCTTGGTGTTTTAATTACTTTTTATTTTGTTTCTGATTTAGGATTACATGCTCGTGTTTTCCACGACAAAGATCTACCAAGGAACTTGTTTCCCTTCAAATATCTATTTCTGTATATCAATATCAAAGTTTGAGACTTGGGTTATTCTTGAGATTTGATGACTGAATGCCTGCAAAATATGAACTTGTATTTTGTTGTCTCCTTTTTCATCATCTTATTCGTTTTCTCGTTCCATTCTCACTCCCAACAAGGCATCCTAGTAGTTGCTTTGAAGTTTTCTTGCATCATGTGATCATTTCTTTGATGGTACTAATTCTTGATCTTTGGCTTGTTTAAGATATTCCTAAAATATTACAACAGCTCCTTAATGAGAGACAAAGACTCAAAAACCATTATCAAGTTTCGTGGTGTTGCAAAAATATTAGGAGGTCTTAAAGCTAACTACAGCATCTCTGCCCCAAAAGTAATGTATTATTCAGCTAGAGGACCGGACCCAGAAGACAATTCATTGGTTGATGCTGACATACTGAAACCCAATCTAATCGCTCCTGGCAATTTCATCTGGAGTGCTTGGAGTTCCCTGGGCACAGATTCTGCTGAATTTGAAGGTACTATCATATTCTTTGACAAACACTGCAACAAAATTTTGTACATTTGTGATGCATGAATCATGGAGTCTAGCACTTAACTCTGACATATTTAATGGTTATCATGACTCGAGTCACAGACATGTAAGCAGATTTTATGTAAAGTCATGTAGCCTTTTACCAACAAGTCCTTTGTTATCGATATGAATCCGGGCTTTGCTGATATAATATGATCCATACATTTTCAGAAACATGTTAGGGGACTTTAAACTGATATCAACTATTTGAATTGCTGATAAGTTTCTAACAACTGCAACTCCATGTGGAGGGGGTCCATGAGATATTGTCTAAATAATCAATTTGTTTAGTGAGTATACTATACACAACTACGTAGCTAAATAAAACTCATGAAACCAAGTAGAGGTGTAAGAAGTTTCATGAAGAACTGAAAAGAATGATGGATATGTCAACCCATGCTTAAGCCATAAAAAGTTCTAAATGCAGGAAAACCCCTTGTCATCTGAATCAAGTATCTGTAATGATTCTTACATGTTATTCTTCCTTTGAATAGAGTTGCTTCATCTCAGGGTTACTAAAGATGTTTCGATATTGAAAGTTGAAACATATGCTTGTAGGTGAGAAATTTGCAATGATATCTGGGACAAGTATGGCGGCTCCACATGTTGCTGGGCTTGCTGCTCTGATCAAGCAGAAATATCCAAATTTTAGTCCTTCAGCCATTGGTTCTGCTCTATCCACAACCGCCACAGTCTATGGCAAGCAGGGTTCACCGATCATGGCCCAACGAGCTTACAGCAATCCAGATTCCAACATGTCACCTGCAACACCATTTGACATGGGCAGTGGCTTTGTCAACGCAACTGCTGCTTTAAATCCAGGACTAATTCTCGATTCAGGTTACTTATACACCATTAGCTTCAATAATTAGTAGAAGTATGCATTCACCATGAACTTGTGGCAAAAACTTGCATGATTTGTTGCCTTATAACTGTGGTTGGTTGCATATTTTTTGCAGGCTACGACAACTTCCTCTCCTTTCTTTGTGGCATCAATGGATCTGCTCCAGTAGTACTGAACTACACTGGCCACAACTGTAAGATCTCCACAATGATGGGCTCAGACCTGAATTTACCTTCGGTAACCATATCATTGCTCAATCAATCAAGAATCATCATGAGAAGAGTTACCAACATTGCAAACGATGAGCATTACAGTGTCAGCTGGAGTGCTCCTTATGGAGTCTCAGTTTCTGTATCACCAACACGGTTTTTTATAGCGAGCGGCCAGCAACAAAACCTAACTATTGTCCTGGGTTCAACCATGAACAGCACCTCTGCCAGCTTTGGGGGGATTGGCCTTTATGGAAACCTAGGCCACAAGTTGTTCATTCCCTTGTCTGTCATCTCGAAGACCAAGCATAAATCCACCTTAACCAGAAAGAGGTGCTGACTTTTTCCTTCACTTTGCCGCTTACGTCGACCTCATTCTTTATTCAATTTGTATACATTTTGAAACATCTGGATGTAATCAGAGGAATGAGTGACAAATAATGTTAAAAACACATCTTTTTATCATCAAGTATCAGTATGCAGATTTACTGAGCTGTGAATGAAGAACAAGAACAGACTAATTTATGTGGCTCAAAAATGAACTCTTTGAGCTTGTTCTAGCTGCATTGTTCTAGGTAAGTTGAAGAACAACATATATTCTCCTTTCCACTGGATATCATGGACATCCTTATGACCGATGTATTCAATTGTTTCTGTAATGAAAAATTATGCAGAAAATGTAAATTTGACATGTTGCTTAAGAAAAATTGTGCAGCCTCTGTTTTTAGTAAAATTCATGCTGACCTGAGCTTTATGAAACTTTGGTCTGATTAGATTTAGAACACTTTTTTTGTGATAGAACTTTTCTGGCCAATTGATGAAGGCAACTCCTTCAGGAAAATGCAGGCTTCTCTACTTATAATCTAGTTTTAGTTCATGGAACATGTACATCATAGACAAGAGAACTTAGAGAAACAAAATGGAGGACAGACAACAGTCATGAACACTTGAGCTCATCCACAGCAGGAGAAACACACCCCACCATTCTCTCAGGCAACATTGAAGGAACTGGCTGCGCTCTCCACAAACTTCCGGGCTCCCTTGAACCATCTCTTGTCCCCAGCTTGCGCCTTGCAGATGTAGAGCTTCCCGTCGGAAACAGTGGCTGTTATCAGTTGGTGCTTGCCACCTTCGTCCCCATCCGCCGTCCTCGTCAGAACCGAGACGAAGTAGTACTTCTTCCCGCCGCTCTCCTGCGTGGTGGTCTCCAGTATGTTGGCTGTTGCCACAGCATCAGAATCGAACCCACCCTACCAAATCCATGCCTTGTTCAGTGTCCAAATCGATCACATTCAAGTACATGAGATGCTTGCTGTCATCTTCATTTACCTACCTCTGAGTCTGTCTTGCCGGAGTAGGCTTGTTTTCCTAGCAAGTAATCAACCTGTGGCAGATACGCATCCAAGTTGGTCATGCATGTCTCTTGTCATTTAGTCGAACATGTGATCCCATCATGGATTTGATTCAAGACGACTGATAGAGACGGAAGAAGAGGAAGGAGAAGAGTCGGTTACTTGAGAGAGGAACTCCTCCGGGGTGCCGTAGCCTGTGATGGTGCTCTTGGTGGTCGGCGTCACCATGACGGTGACGTTGCTGTTGGAATCGAAGTTGTCCTCGTACCGGAGCACCTGGCCAGGGTACTCCACCTCTTTGCTCGGGTTCCACTTCGACGGGATCATCAGCTTGAACCCGTCGCCGGCGTACGGCAGGAAGTCGGTGTTCGTCTTCGGCTTACCGAACACGTTGGCTGCGTTCGACATGAACAGTAGCTCGAAGTATCCGCAACAACGACGACAGGCGTGGGAGAGACTGCAGGGGAAGACTTACCAGCTTCGCCGTAGGCCGCGTCGGCCGGGGCGACCTTGGCGCCGAGGGCCGCGGCACCGAGGAGCACCGTCAGGGCCATGCGACGTGACACGGCGGCGCTGTTCTCGTCGTCGGCGGCCTGCTTCTGCGCCTTGCACACGATCAGGTTGGGCTTGTTGATCGGCACAAGGCGCGTGGATTGGATCCTGTTGGTGGTCGAGGGTGCGTGGTGGTGGAGGAAGCATGCAGTTGAGGCCATCTCTTCCTCTCTTCCACACTCACACACACACTCACTCTTACTGCTCTCCTCTCATCAATCTTGCTTTAATGTGAATTTTGGTGTCAGTGAAAGGAGAAGGTCTTCTGCGTATCGAGTGTGTGTGGCAGTGGATCAAGGCAGGATGAGAAGTTGGGATTGGATAGGGTGATTGAAGCTTTGATTGGGCCACATCGGATGGTCTTCTTCCTCAAGTCTCCCACCTGTCTTCTTCATGTTTGTATGTATGACTATGATTGCATGCCTATGTGTTCCTTCATACATGTACTTGGATCCCTAGCATGTTAATTCAACATTTTGATTTGTAATATCGTACTGTAATATCGTACCGTACTGGTATTTCGATCTGGGCTCGGTACCAGTACAATACAGTATATCGAGTGGTACACCCAGGTGTGCCGAGTATTGTAGCATAATGCATTCGGACCAGTAACAGACGGTCCGCGTACCGACAACCTGTCGGACCGGTACGTACCGCTCATACCGGGCGGTACAGTTCGGTACGGCAGACCCTGCTAATATTAATTATTATTTGAGAGAAGAAGGAGAATTAATCATATGATGGATATTCCTTTTATTTTCTATATTTTGTGAGGAATTTTGGGACTTCTTTATCATCGAATTAAAGCCAATTTCCTATATATATATATATATATATCATTGACAACTATATTGCATTATTGATGAGTATAATGTTAAATTATTAATCATTATTATTTCATTTAAAAGCTTAAATCCATTAATAAGATATGATATTTGAATTAGTACATATACATAAAATATATTATTATTATTATTATTAAGTGAGATATTGTGAGCTCCCAACTTCGTCTTCATTCCCAATAAAATAACACTAAATCGGAAAATGAAAAGTATTTTAGATGAGTTGACCTTTTGGGTCAAACCTGACTTGGGACGGTTTGACTGCCTATGAGGCGGAGCGAGCTCGCGGTGATGGGGATGGCAGCCCGCCTTCTGCTACAGGTTCGGATCCGCTGTCGCCGATCGCCGGTCGGCTCTCCAAACTCTCTGCAAGGGTTTCCTCGAAACCCTAGCTTCCATCTCAATTAGCTTCAGAAACCCGTGGCTCGTCCTGGGTTCTACGCCTGTGGAATGAGGTGGTCGAGAATCTTTAGGATTTGCCTTCTCGATCTGTTCTTGGACGCCCTTTCCAATGTATTCGAATTTTTCTTGTTTGCACCGTGAAATGAGATTACTTGGTTCAAGCCTCATGTGTTTTTGCTTGTGCATTAGTGGCTGGAATTATCTGTCGAAAACCTAAATTATTGTCTGATTCACATCTCTGTTCTTTCAGTTTCAGCTATGGCGATGTTGACCTCCACGTTTTTCTTTTAACCCAAATAAGATCATCTCATTTTAGTTTCTATGATGACCTCAGTCTACATCGTTGCTTTTTACTCGATTAATATCTCATTTTAGGTTCTTGATGCATTCTTTGTGAAGTCCTAACATCAATGCCGCGGTCATTTGCTCGATGCTTTCACTTATCAATGGGAACCTCAGCATTAGTGGTGGTTGCTTCCAAGAACTTCATTTTCTTTTCTGGTCTCTCACCTGACGTGGACTCCCATTTACGTAGTTTACTTTTTGTGTTTGATGAATTTCTTCGCCCTTAGGTTCTTCATAAGTGCTTTAGTTGTGGTTGGCAAGCAAAAGTCTATTTCTAGTACTTCATCTGAAAAGAAAATTACTCTCTGTTTACAAAGAGCAATGTTTCTATTTCCTTTTTCTCTTGTGAGGTTAAGGAGTTCTGTACTGCTAAATCTCGTGCAGGATCAAATCAAAATGATGAATTGATTTACCATGATTTAGCACCTAGAGGTTTCAAAATCTTTATTATATAAATTTTCACATTTGATAGATTCCTGCATGATTATGATATATCTGCTCAGGAAAAATTTTGCATGAAGCTTTTGTAGTATGTGAAAATGTAATTTGATCTTCACAGTTGGAGGATCTTAGGATTACTTGGGTACTCTAGGCTCACTTAAGCTGTGGAAATCTTAGAGGCCTCTATACAGAAAAAGACAGATTACTTTTTTTTGAAGAATTTCTCTAGTCTGGAAGTTGTCTCGATTGTGGATTTCCTGAAGATTCTCATCTTCTTGAAAAAAAGGGCAGAAATTTTTTTAGCTCATGTTTTTGCATCCTTCCTTTTAATGTGTCTTCAGTTCTCAGTAAAATGTCTTATTTCTTTAGTTGGTGGGCCACCAACATGATCAAGTTTTTCATTTGGGACTTAGTTTTAGCTCCATTTAAAGAGTTTCTGTTTTTCTAGTTTAGGGATTTTGGCTGTGTTTTGGCCTTTGCACACATAATTAAAGTCAGCATAAGTGGAAAACTAGTAAAATATATATTAGTAAGTAAAGATGTAGTTCAATTCTTTATTAATTAAAGAATCAATTTCAGGTTTCAAAATTGGAAACATTCTCTCTATTTGCAGGTAAGATTGTGCGCATTGACTATCTTCAGATATCTCATGCACTAGCCTGCCCTCTTTTTTATTATGCTCATTGGCTTGCTTCTTATTCTAAATTTTCTAAGGAATTTTTATGGAGATATCCATTACCTTCTCAGTTTATGGCTATTTTGAGCTCAGATGAACTGAGCACTGGGTGTATCTGACCTTTGACTTAATAGAAATTTTGCTTTTATGAAAAAAAATAGACCAAATAAAGAGAGATGAATTTGCTGTACGGTAGAAAACAAGTAATGCTCTTGACTTGATAGTAGCAGAACAGATTTGTTTCTTATATCATTAGAAATAATGGCATAACTTTTATTTTTGTGTGTTGGAATACACCACTTCTGTTGCTGATGAATATCATACTATCATTGAACTTACATGGCTAGGTTCATACAGCTTGGCATTTCATGGGTACTTATACAAAATATAAGGTAGTTAAACTAACACATAGAATTCCTGCCTCAGGCAATTATGGACATTTTTGAACTTCTGTTTTTCTTTTGGATCAAATTCTTCTTGTCTGTTTTATCCACTGGTTGCTAGTGGTCTCTTCAGTCTTCTTTATTTCACTTTTCTGTACAGTGTTTGCCAGAAATTGAGTATTTTGGTTTGGAATGCTGCATTTTGTTAACATCGCAGTCTTCAAAATCTGTTGGCTGCATGCTCTCCAGCAATTTATTATCAAGAAGCACAATGTTGACTGTGATTGTGATTCCTTCAATCCTGTGAGTTCTTACATCTGAGCCATGAAATGGTAGGTTCATGATTTGTGTGTTTGACTGTTTTGAGCAACTAAGCAACATATATTTGTAGGTTTACATAGCAAAGTTTTTGCCACTTCTCAATTTTTCATAGTGAAGACTTAAGACAATCTATTTATCCATCTGACATGTCAAATAAATGAAAGTATCAACCACTATGGGAACAGGAAAATCATGTCTAAAAGTCAGATTCTGCTAAAATATTAGATCAACTCAACGGGGATTTTTTTTCATCATAAATTTCAAGATAAGAGATTATTTTGTAGCAAACATATACTCATGCTTTCTGACTGACAAGAATACTTTTCGTGAAAGATTTTAGCATTTTACAACAAAAATTTGTTTTGTTAGCCAACATACTTTTAGGATTTCTAACCTTGACACACAGATAAGTCTCTAATCACTTAATTCATTCTTGATGGTTTCTTGAATTATTATGGGAATATGAATCTTTGATGGGCAACCCTAAAACAAACAGCTTGAAAACTAAAGAAAATTATAAGCTTTCCTTCTCTGTTTCTTCCTTTTAGAAGGCTTAGCCATTACAAATTCAATAATGAAGGTTTGTCAGCATCACACTTGTTGATAATCTCATGGAATAAAGAAAAAAAAAATTCTTCTCTATTTCTTCCTTTTAGAAGGCTTAGCCATTACAAATTCAATAATGAAGGTTTGTCGGCATCACACTTGCTGCTAATCTCATGGAATGAATTGTATTTTCTTATATGTATATTATTCTTTGATAGATATAAGAAAGAACAAAATTGCTTTATCAACAACATGTACTGTAGCATTAGCTCAGACCACTCCAACTTCATTTTTCTTACTTCTATTTTATATCACATGGCATTTATATTTCATCTATGCACAACCACTTGTCAGTGTTTCTAAAATGTTGGATTTTGTAGATCTCATTAGAAGTTTAGTCTTCAAGAGTTATTAAACCAAGATGTGCCTTCCCAATTTTCTTCTCTGATAATCATCAAAGTCTATGCCACTGATGCTTATGGTAGTGATGGGCTTCGTACTGATAATGACTTGGATAATGTATAAAAAACATGCAGTAGGAAACGGAACATTAACTTTTTTTTTGTCGCATGTTCACATGTAGCTGGACCTGCCCTTTTGTAACTGAACTTATTTGTATTTTGTATAGACACTTCCAAGCCTGATGAACCGAAACAATATTGAATTCCTAGCCTTCCTTAATGACATTGGACAGGTCTTCTAAAGCTCTTTGCATTTCTCAGTTGTGGTGAAGATCACATTGCATTTGCAGTCTTAGATAACTTGTTAGAATATATCGGAGTTGTTACCTTACCTCTTTTGTCCTCTATCTTCCCTTATGGAGTTTTTTCATCATGGATACTCTGAATATTATTAGCATAGTTTATACCATTGGTTTTGAAAAAGATATATTAAAAAATAACTAGACATTCGGTGCTAACTAATATCTGACTGTGGAAGAAGCGTTCTGAATTGTTTTTCCAATGATAAGGTTTACGTCTTTATCTCTCTTAAGATGGAAACTCTGACTCAACTCTCAGAGTTTGCAAAACAAGTATATAAAGCCACAGCTTGGTGGGTTGGATGAGAGTGACTTTTATGTTCTCATCTAGTTGAGTTACTAATCACCTTGACTTTTCATAACAGCTACTGCATCCTACACTACTGAAGAAAAAACTACATACCACCATACAAACTATCTAATGCATTGAATAACCTTGGAAGTTTGGCCTATATTCTGTATTTAACACATATTCTATGTTTTTCTGATGAAACTAAATTTCATATCTATACAGTGGGATGAGAAGGTGATGTGCATCTCACATTAGAGCTAACTGGTTATCCTTGTACCTCATTATTATCCCTGTTTTGGCTTATATACAGAGATCATGGCTGCTCCAGCCTGCTGACCTTTTATTTTGCAAGTCTCTAGTTGGGGTTTGGCAACTATCCCTTCTCATTTTCTTTGTTTTTATAATTGTCACTGTAACTTTGTATTTGACTAGTGCAATTTGAATGAGATTTAATGGTAGTTTTTCTGACAATGTGCTTCAGTGATGATTCACCACATATATATATATATATGTATATATGTATACATATATATACACATATATATACATACACATACATATATATGTATACATATATATGTATAAATATATACATATACACATATATATACATACACACACACACATACATACATACATACATACATACATGCATACATACATACATACATACATACATACATATGTATATGTATA